TGAAACTCGAGAAGATGAGGCCGAAAGGAAGCTCGTTCTGGTCTCCTGATTTCGCTCTCACGCTCTTCAGGGCAGCGGACCAGAAGAATACGAAAAGATACATGGGGCCTTCAAAGCAACAGGAGACGAAGTTCAAGGTCATGACCTTTGGATCTCTGAGTGACGCAAGTACTCGATGCTTCAGCTTCGGGACTCCTGTGGTCTCCAAAGGTCTGGCCGCACTGCCATAGTTTTCTCGCCACGTCGACAATATGACAATGTTGGCTCCAATGCAGCAGCCAAAGCTGGCGATGAATGGGGCCAGCCGAGAGTCGAACCACTGAACAAGGCCGTTTCCAAGTATACCAGAGAATATGGCGGTGATACTGCTGGCGGTCGTCATGTTGGCAAAGATCCGGCCGAGAGACACCGTGCTCTCATCAATCTGCAATTGATGATATTCGGTGATCATCCAGGCCTCAAAGGCACTAAATAGTAACGTGGTTGCAATGCCCCCGAACAGACGGCCCATGTACAAGGCATTGAGGTTGCGGCTCAGCATTGTCAAACATGTGATACTGTAGCAGACGCAATAAGCGACACAGGCAGCCCGCCTGCCATAGCGATCTGCGAGCTGTCCTACGAAGGGCGCACTTGCAGCACCGGAAACAAAGCCCGAGGCGTATAAGAGTGCGACGGTGGGCTCTTCCAGCTGCTTTTCGTACTTGTAGATTGCGTAGGTGTATGGGCCCTGTTGAGTGGTATTTGTCAACAGGGGTCTACTGAGAAGAAGGGAATATACATACTTGAAGCCAATCTGCTGCGACAACCAACGTATAGACGAGGAGGAACTGTCCTGTGAACCTTGAGGCACCTGCTTCGGCTTGTTCATCTCGCGGGGCACCACGACGGCGCGGCTTGTGATTCTGAGTGTGATGTCGATATAGGAAATAGCACGAATTGGCCACGATCAAGGCGGCCAGATTCACTTGATAGAAGTCCATGGCACATTGGTTAGTTCTTCTCGTCCTCCTTCGTATCTTTTTGTCATTGATCAGACTGATGCCGAGCCTTTCTCTGACACGCAGTTTGGAGGAGAAAGTGTCGTTTGCAGGGCTTGCCAGTCACAGTGGAAGTCATCGGTCTCTCCATCTTTCTTTCTGATTGAGTTCGTTGCCTAAACGGCTCCTCCGTGACTGCCTCCTTAAATGATAACCGAAGATAGAAAGATAAGGTAGGGTAGGTAGTCTAATGAAGGAGCCCTGGGGTGGTTTCCCAGTTGCTCGAAGGAAGGCGCATACAAATTCACCTCCTTCCCCTGACAACTTATCGGCAGCAAACGTTCCAGTCGGTCAAGGGCATCACTTGAAATACATGTACCTTTTCTACACAAAAAAACAACAGCACCTCAAGCACCGCCAAAGTGAAGTCCTCCTGCCGGCCACAGAAGACATGGGTTGATTGGGTGAGGAAGCAATGGAGCAAAAAGCAAAAAGATGCGGCCTGTGTGG